TATATTAAATAAAAAGTAAATATATTTACTTTTAATAAAGACTGTTTGCAAAAAGTATTTTGAATACTATAAATGCGAATGTCGCTAATTAAATCGCGTATATGAAGTGAATATGTTTAACAACATTTGATATTGAGCTTATAATATTTTAAACTTTTTGCAACAATAAGTCATGAATTGATCGATGTTAAGTACACATTTCAATACTTACTGAATAATATAACGATAAATAAAGTTTTTCTAATAATAATACAAATGAATCATCTTTTTAATTCTTTATGAATTTAGAAAGATGATTCATTTGTATTATTATTAGAAATCTACTATTATTAGAGCTTAATCTGTTTATAATTAAATTTAAAAAATGCTACAGCCACAAGTAGAACGCCATTAGATGGACACAGTGGAGTTTTATTTCTCGTGAGTAAAATCATTTACAAACAATTAATTTCGAATCCATTGCATTAATTCATAAAAAATTTAGTAAGAAAAACCCCTAAAGTAATGATCATCTGTGCTATCTAGGTAAGTATATTATCACATAATTATTATAAACTATTAATTTATTATCGATTTAACCATAATAGTTATCAAAGTAATAGTATTCGAAATATCGCAATAGTTTTTATTTTTTTAAATTATCTTCATGAAAACAATTAGTTAGCCACTAAACAACATTAAAAAGTATGTTGATGTTCTACTTTTAGACCTATTATTTAATACAATAAAAATTGGATAATTTAAATATAAAAAAATATATGAGAAATAACGACATTAGACCAGAGTCTATATTCAAATTGAGCTCAGACTAGATTCTATGCAGCATTTGATTTGAAGTATATATCTTTGAGAATTCAATTGAGAGGGTTTATCATATAATAGAATAGATATGAAATCGTCGCAATCAATTTAATTTGTTAGTATCACGTTACAAAATTTGCATTACTTTAGATACGTAAGAATGTATAAAACAGGTGTGGTAATTAGAGTGCAATAATAAATTAATAATAAATTAGTTTAATAATAAAAATATAAAAATAATAAATAAATTAGACATTTCTGCTATCTTTTTGAACATTTTTTAGCGTATTAATTTAAATAAACTAACAAATATTTGCTAGCTTGCTTAAGCATGTGAATTTATATATTTTAGCCTAGTTATATATAAAAACAGAATAAATAATTTGTATCGCGATATTTTTTATTATTATGTAGAAAAAGAGAGGAAGGATACATTCACTGATTTGTAGATTATTCAAAACGAGAATATTCCTGAATAAATGATGCGTGATATAGAGTTGTTCGGAATATGTTATGAGTCACGTATACCAGTTATCGAAAGATTCCACCGGTTTTAACTGATCGACTTACGTGTCATTATAATGGGGCTGACAGTCGAACATTATCATCTCATCACGTGCTTGTACGAGATATATTAAATTGGACTCATGTACATTTGATTTAACATACGCTGGTCCTGTCTAATTTACTAGACAACAAGGACGAATCGAGAGATAACGAGGAAAATGATGAGACGTCGGTGACAGGATACTATTTACGAGTCTTTAGTGCGTACTGATTGGCTCTAAAAAGACTCACGGTACCTAAACAGACGTTAATTGAGAGCGGTTTAACGCAAGGGGAGCTGTAAAGAATGAAAACTCACTTCGTGTAGTAACTCGTTGCGTAAGTCATGGTAGATAAATATTTAAGAATTAATTAATTTCCTTTTAATAGAATTTTATAAGTAATTTAATTATTTTCAATGTATTTTTTAATATATTGAAAAATTTTCTTGAGTTAAGTGGTTACGGATAGTTAAATCTGGCTTTTAGTTGATCTGACCTAATAAAGCTCTTTCACTAAGAAACTTATTGGGAACATATTAATATTAAAAATTAAAATTTTAAGATGAGATTAAGTTTCGATTTAATTGTGAAAATGAATTACTTTTCGATTTGAAATTCTCTTTAATAAGAATATCTTATATAACATATTATTAAATATTTTGTCAAATAATACAAAAATACTCTATATTTATAATTACAGATTTCTTTCCTCATTTTCCGAATGCGCAAATATAACGCCATTAAATGTAATGCAAATGGTATGACGCAAAATGCGACTGTTTCTTTGGATGAAAAAATCAGAAGAAAAATCGCGTATTGTATGTATTTAATAGTTAGAAAGATACGAACGTAACTGAAACACATTGTATACCGCGACAATGCTGCATATGCGAAAGTTTGCATTATTCAGATTCTCTGCTAGACTGCGTGTCGTGTCTCTCATCAAGCAACAGTGATAACAAATCGTTTCTTCAATTGATAGGCATAACTGTCTTCCATAATCTGATAACGAAACTCGTGATAATACGCAATATTATCACGCTTTGAGTATTTTTTTTCATTTTTATCTAGCGTGTGAAAATGCGCCTTCAAATTAGTATTAACTCGCTGTCTCTGGTTCTCAGCGGATTTCACCGCCGGTCGTCGTCGTAAAAATGCGATCACGCTTACGCTATAGAGATTTAGAGATTTACATTTGTATTGTAAATAAGCGATTGCATAACAATGAGGAAAAAAATTGAATAAACTCTTTTGAAAATGCCAAAAGATTCTTTAATCGATTTAATATCGGTTTTATCATGATAACATGCATACATTAATTTAATTTTCTAAATAGAGGGCACGTATTATTTGGATTCGTTTGACATCGTTGCATTTTTATATTTTCAATCAGAATTCAATTCTGGGTACGTATATTATCGAACTGTTCGGAATGGATACCAAGTAAAATTATTTTGATTTCCTCAGAAAATAATAGAAATAAAAAAACAAAAATAGAAATCTAGGGAATAATTGAACAATTTCGATCAAAATCCATTCTGAACAGTTCTATAATACGTTCCCAGAATTTTGATTGGAGATCATAAAAAATGCAAAAATGCAATAAAATGAATGGAAAGATTGTATCTTTGTTATTATATTGAGGATATTTGTTAATTATGTTATTTGAGATTATGTTAATTATTATATGAATACATATTCAATGACGTAATAAATAAAATGTATTTCTTTCAAGAATTTTTTCTAAGCATTCTTCATAACAGTTCAATTGTACAGGTATTAAAAAGTATTCAATAGTTAATGATTAGGTAATTAAGCTCATAAATACGTAGCACATACAAATTTCTCGATATATAACGCACGGTTAAACAAATTGATTATACTCTCCTGAGAGTGTGACCATAAATGTAATATATGCAATATTCATTCGCGTAATTAATTAATTATTTATGATACATGTGCTACTTGTCACTCCACATGCGCTAAAGCGGTAACCAAGATTCTATTGGGATCAATTGTTTGAACAGTATTACTGTATAGAATTATTTCCTAACAGGCTACGTTTATTCTCAACAATGGCCATTACATTTGAGCAAAACTCCTATTAGAGTTTCAATAGACTCGCAAATAAAGGAAGTAATATTGATTTTATTACATTCCTAATAATTAAATAATTATTGTGCAAAATTATTTTAATGTCTTTAAAATTTTCATTATAACGAAATAGATATGCAACACTAATATTAACAAAATTAATACTTATTATTATTAATTATAAGTATAAAATAAAATTTAAAGATTGATATATTATCGAAACAAAGAATTTGTACAAGTTGAAAACAATAAGCACAAAGCATATTTCTAATACGACATATCATAGTATGCAAATCTCTTCCTTCTTCCGAACTAATCATAAATGCCACTATTGTGCCCACGTATATGCTTGTATAAGGCAATCCCGCATTCGCATCTGTACGTCAAACCTATTATTACAAAAGTGTATTATAATGATTTCCAATGGAATAACACTAGCTATCTATAAATAATTCGTATAATCAAGACGTATATTTAGTGTGTGCGCGCGCACGCAATAAGAGATGATGAGTGTAATCGACATACGATGGATGATCTGATTATACTTTGAATCATTTCTGCGCACAAATGACTTATTTTCTCAAACAAGAAAACATTATCACTTTTATCACGTAATTATCGCATTATTTGCTCAATATCATATAAATAGTTTTTTTTACAAATGCCATTGAATTACTTTATCTCTTATCTTACTATATTATTATTTTTTCAAAATTTATATTTGATAAATTGTGTGTGTGTGTGTGTGTGTGTGTGTGTGTGTGTGTGTGTGTGTGTGTGTGTGTGTGTGTGTGTCTCCAAATTATCATGTATATAATACTAATAATTTCAAAATTATATAAACATTTTTATAATAATATAAAAAGTCAGTAAATGTAAAATAAATACGAAAGCCGAAGAGTTATCAACAGTCACTGTTCAATCAAATAGATCCGTCTTATGTGGAAAGCCAGAACTAAGCTTGATGTGTTACAATCGAAATATTTACATACCGTGAAACAATATTATCCACTTTACGTTGTTTAATTTCAAAGCAATGATAATTGAATAGGATCATTAAGAATTTGACAAAAAAAATATCTTTTTAAATATCACGTATATATTCCATTCAGCTTTATTATTTGTTCGTCGCTATTTATCTCTATTCGAATATTGATACTTAACATCCTGTAATATGTGACAGCAAATTAAAAAATCGACTTCGTAGATTGTGAATTGATTCAACATTAAATTCCGAGAAATTCAGGACATATCGTCATATCGATGCCTTTATACACCTTCACTAGTAGAAGCTTCATTTTTTCTATATCCATCTATGGGAAATCTCGATAAGAGCGTACTACAATGACATATAACTTCTTTGAAATTACGACTAGCTCTTTGGACCTGACATCATTGATTCGACGATTGCCACACGCATCGTCGCCGATTTCGAAATGACAGAATAATACCCCTTCCTGACAGTCTGACCGGATTCCCAAGTATATCTCGGCACTATCTGGGCGGAGTTTCCTTATCAAAATCACTGGATAACTGTCTCCACGCTGCTGCCAGCCACAGACTGGTTGTTGCGAGTGGCCGATTGCTCGTCTCCGGCACCGAGGAGTGTACGTTCGGAAGCTATCATCTGGCTGTCAGCCGATGGTAAACAGTTCTCCGGTATACACCACGGTGCGCAGACGTCCGTACGTACGTAGTGCAACGTATGTACGTATGCATACGCGTGTATATGTGGGTGAGCCTATAGAGAAAGAGAGAGAGAGAGAGAGAGAGAGACAGAGGAGAAATAATTGAATACACATTCTCTGTCCATGCGCGCTTTATTTACTCGTGAAGCGGGGTGATTCTGACATGAGGACCATCTGACATTGCAGCCAAAAGCACATTTACTATCGTGCTTGTCATCGCGGTGACGGATCTCTTCAGGTGCAATCACCGATGGAGCTCCGAAGAGATATGCAATTGGACAAGTAGGGTTTTTATAAACAGTGATATGTGTAATTAATCTGTTAATTTGAAGATTACATTCTCTCGTTTAAATTATATTTTATTACTCATTCATTTTGTATAATAAATGGTAACCAACGATAGCAATAGCACTTGTTGCCGAATTGTTTATAGTAATATACTAATTAAAATTATTTTCATCTGATAACAAATTCTGTTGTATGAGTAACATATAGCTATTCAGATTATATGAATAGCCGCCATAATGATTAAGACTGAACTATTCTAAGTCGACTCTGCAAGCTGAGAAAGCAACAGATGTTGGTATAAAATTTGCGCTCGCCTCTCTATCATATTAAATCGATTTGTTTTTTTAATCTTCGATGCATTTGATATCGACGGATGATCACTGTAAAAACAGAAGATTGAAACGTGCTATCAATAATGATAACAAGTAAAGTGTGTTAATTAATTTCGGTATGTTTTGATATTCGTCAATAAAATTTAATAATAGAAAGATTTTTTTAATTTAAAGAAAAAATACATTGATATTTAACACACATTTATTAACACACATGTTTGTTTAAAAATATTGTTATCATATTACGGAAAAAGTAATTTAAATTTTTTTAAATTACAATTTAATAAAATCTCTATTTAAAATGTTAGGAAAATTTTATTTGTGACGCAACAGAAAAGTATTTTAATTGGTATTATGCTCATTCTAATACATACTGAATATAATACTAATAAATGTGATATTTTAGGAAAGTTTATTCAATAAAATATTTGTGTTAGACATACAAATTTGAACCAAGTTATTCAAAATGTAAAATTGACACCCAAGACACGTCTGATGACTAAAAATTGAACAATCAACCAACTTATAATTGATTGTATTAATCATGCAATCATGCATTGCATGAAACATGTTTAATTCCAGTGCCTTATATCCTTGAATTAGATTCACCTTGCAACATGAAACGTGAACAGAGTTAACCAACCGTTTAAACAAATTTTTTTTTCATGCTTATGTACACTGCAATGCGTTTGCAAAAATCATGGAGGAATAATTATTTCACAATATCTAACCGTTGATCATGTGCTGACCCGCACTTTGACCCAAGTAACGTCACGACACATGGATTTTCTTATCAATGTTATATGTGCTCGATTCTACATATAATGATTATCGTTATCGGGACAGCGAAAAAAATCGGGACCTGAAAAAAATGTCAGCTCGTTGAGACAGAATTGATAATCGATGTGCGACATGCAAATTTATCCAATTTCAATTGCATTTGTAAGTTATCTATATATCATGCAGTATGCAGAAAAATATCCGGAAACAAATATCGGCGGTATTGTGCAATAATTTCTACTTATACTAAGAATCGCGTACGCGAGAAATATATAAATTTTTATAAATCCTAATAAATATAATAATATTATCAATTGCATTTGTAAATTATCTATATATCATGCAGTATGCAGAAAAATATCCGGAAACAAATATCGGCGGTATTGTGCAATAATTTCTACTTATACTAAGAATCGCGTGCGCGAGAAATATATAAATTTTTATAAATCCTAGTAAATATAATAATATTATCTAAAAAAATGTACGTAAAAATAAATAAGCATACAAGGAAAAAATAAGTATATTTTATAAAAAATTATTTTTAAAAAACGTTATGAACATTAGATAAAAAAATTAATTTATAAGAAAATAAATCGTAAAATCACGGAAAATATTGTATACTTTGTTATTGTTATGAAAGAGAACATAATTAGAAAGACAATTAGAATTTTAGAGAATAATACAAACGGCAAATATTACAAACTATAAATGTTTCTTCATTAGAATATAATATGATTTAAAATATAATATGATTCTTTATAAAAATATAATGATTTAGCATAAAATTTACATACTGACGCAATTTAAGAGTTATTTTAGAGTAATTCTTTTAGAAAGTTATTTTAAAAAAGAAAAAAAACTTGGTTGTTAGAAAGTAACAGTTTATTCAGGGATAATTAACCTTTGACCTCTCTTATGTTAAAGGTGCATAAAATTCTTATTGGTATTTAGAGTGATAATCGATTGCTTTTTTCACTCGTTCTTCTTTCACCGACGCGATCTTTATTTTGCAACTTTTCTCTCAAGATAGGATAACATTTTTCTCCATCTATGTGCTGCTTTATAAAATTGCTTTGGACAAGTTTGCATCTCCCATATAAATAATTTACGTAATACGAAATAATGTAAAAATTCATAAATTACGCCAACGCGTTTTGATGTTTAATGCTTACTGATCAGCGAATTTCTTATTGATGCGTGCATTGTAATTTTGCTGTTGAAAATTAAAAATTATTTAATCTTAACTTAAAGATGTGTAGTGGACTTTCTGAGACATACAAAAAAAATTAATATTTAAAATTAATATTTTTTTGTAAAAAAATTGTCAATTTGTCTCGAAAAATTTATTAAGTCTTTAAGTTAAAATTAATATTTTATTTTTATCAGTGTATGAATTATAAAAACGCATGTCTTAAAAAAATAATTAAAGAAAAACATATATTATAATACATAAAATAATTCCAGAAATTATAACATTATAATATTTTACATATAAAAATTATAAAATTTTACTTTGCAACAGTGATTTGTAAATTTTGTTGAAAGTTTCTATCTATATTTATTATAATATTATGTATTATTACGCACGTGAACTTTGACATGCAATACTCTAGATCATCTTTATTATAAAAGTTATAAAATTATAAGATTTCGATCACACGAAAACCTTTTATATCAGCATTATTCAAAATTAGCACAATGTCTCAAATCAGTCTCTCCCAATATTCTCTCTACATATGTAAACATCCGTCTTTCTTTCTCGGAAAATGCAATGATTATTTAAGATTAGGCGCTTTATGTTTGCTAAGTTTGCCTTATTTTAATCGAAGCTATGTCAGTGTAAAAATAATTTTTACATGATAGGAACGTATAATAAAGATAAGAAAATCACATTAAATATTTAAAGAACAACATGGTGGAAACCTCTAATAAATCAATTCATTGTTTTCGGTACTTACAATTAGTACTATTTTTTAAAGCTTTAAATAATATAAATCATGAGTCTTAAATATGTCATTCTGTTCCTTGTGTATTAATAAAAATAATTAACAATATTCGCTAATAAAGCTGATGTTATCATTAGTCTTGTGAGATTTATTAAGTACTATTTACATTTTACAAGTGTGAAATTACGTGCTGATAGATAAAATCTTGTTAAGAATCTTGTTAAGAAGTGATGATTACGGTGATGATTATCATTTCATTGAGTCATGACTATTAATCTTATCTGTCATATATTATTTTTATCGTCGTTCTAATTTTCGCGCTGTTTTCGCTTCAATTCTCAAATCTAAAAATAAATAACATTAATACACGTATACATATTTGCGAGATAGTATTATTTATGGAGTTTATATTCATTTTTTATGAATTCCGTCACGTAAAAATTATTGAGTTAATTAGTACGTTGACATGTCGCTTCTATTCAAGAAAGTATATATTATTAAATATTAGGTTAAATTCACATTATCATTAGTTTAAATTTTATTATTAATTACATTGTATAAATAATGTATCTATCAACTGAGAGACTTAATAATTATTTAAGTATAATATTTTATGTAAATAATATATATATCAAAACTCGATTATAACTGCGATAGTAAATTCTTTAACAACATAAGATTATCTTATTGAAATAAGAGATATAAAATGAATATATCTCATCCATTCTCACATTATGAATTAAATTGAAAAAATAGTATTTTAATGAAATTATTATTATATATAATAAATTATAAAAATTTAATTTCTTAAAAATAAAACTGAAAAAAAAACATTGATGCAAATATTCATAAAAAATTGCAACTCATCGAAGTTATATTAAAATGAGATTAGTTATATTAAAAAATTATTGCTATATCATATTATAATCAAATTCAATAAATTTAAATAAATTTTAAATAATATTTTAATTTTCTTGAATTAAAATTCAACGTAATTATTTTTTATGTAATTTTCCTTTCTTCGAAAATATTTATGCGAATATTCATAAATGATTCGTTTCGAACATTTCTCTAGAAACCTCTATCGCGAGGCGAAGACGAGTATTTAATTGTCTATTTAATGATGAGACAAGTTGCATTTTTGATTTTTATATCAATGTTGCATTTTTGATTTTTATATCAATAAAATATCTAAGTAGAGAGCTTTTCATACTGTTGAAGCTTTTTCAAACTTTTATTCATTAATCTTCATTAGCGAGAAATGAAAAATGCATCTTCGATGCGATACATTTGCAAATTGAGACTACTCATGTGTCGAACACTCTTTTCATGAAATTGTTATCGAATATTCGAAAAGATGCACAAACAAAACAAAATGCAAAAATGAAGTGTTAACAGAAAATATAAAATACAGGTGCTTGAAAATTTATCTTTCGTGATCTGTAATTAATATATTGAAAATATGTATAAACCAAGGCATTTTTAACAAAAACATTTCTTTTAAATTAAATACATATTTTAATAAATTTTTTAATATTTATTCTTTTGTTACATCGATATTTGAATTACTATATTTATGAAAGAGATTTCAATGTTTTAACATTATATCGGAAACTGTTACATCATTTTGATGACATACTTGAAATTAGCAATTAATGCGTAAATTTGGAAAGCGTTTTTGATTGAGCTAGTTGCTATTATCCATTACAGTAATTGATGAGTGTAATAGACATTGATTGTCCTTAGATTCGAGTCATCTGTCAATTATATAATTAATACGCTGATGAACGAACTACTTCGATGATGCTGTATATGCGGTACTTGTCCATATTGAAATGATTTGCAATTATTTTCATTATTAAGCTGTCAATTATTGCTGCATGTCCGCAGAAAAATATTATATTACAAGGACCTTTTCATTTGACGTTGTTGTCGC